ACCCCCATCGGAGGCTCCTTGAAGAACATTTTTTTTTTTTTAAATCCCAGCCGCATCTAAGAGTTTGGATCTGAGAGTACTAGTCAGTTTTCTTTCAAAGTTCAGAAAGTTCAAATTGATTTTATTCTCATCAATTTTTTTAAATTGGCATTTAGGTGCTCAATAAATATTAGTGTAAAAAATGGGTAAAGGAAAGAGGGAGGTTGGTTGTATGATTACTGCTATTCATCAGTAAAGTCTTAATAAATTCCTTGTCAGATAAACTCAGTTAATCAGCACATAGAACTAACAACATTTTCATAGAGGAAGAGTATTTCGCTTTCATTCAGTAAATGGTTAGTGAACATTTATCACATGCCAGGGACTGTGCTAGGGACTAAGGATCCCTGTCCAAACAGGAGTTACCATCTAGGCAGGACACCAAGTGTCACGATACAGTGATCCGTACCCTGAGAGGGCGTAGCGGGAACCCACAGGAGGTGACCTCAGCCAGATGTGGAGGTCGGAAGGCTTGCTGGGGAAGTGCTATCCAAGATGAAACTTGAACAATGAATATAATTGGGGAAAGTGTTCCTGTCAGAGCAGATGACTGTGTGAAGGCCCTGGAGAGGCATGGCATTTCACAGCAAATGAAAGATATGCAGCATAAGAGGGAGAAGTTGATAGGGAGGAGGCTGGTAAAGGAAGCAAGGCCTAGATCAAGCAAAGATTTGGGCCACGTTAAGGATTTTGACATTGTCAAAATTGAAGGGTTATGAGCAGGAGGCTGACATAATTAGACGTGAATTTTAGAAGTACCACTCTGAACTGTAGAATCGCAAATGTAATGGAGAAAGGGAAATGCTGGCATTTTGTTTTTAAAAAATATTAGCTCCTAGAATCATTGGGAGGGATGAACAAAAGAGAACCTAGCTGAACTTGCAGGAACAATTCCCAAAAACTAGGCCAAGAAGGGGGCTGTTGCCTCCAACATAATTAGGAAAATCAGGATGCTGCTCCACAGCTATCAGCTTCAGGCCAGCCACCTGGCACACAGACAGAGCCTGCCATGGGAATCCAGGTCAGAGGGGATAGCAGCCAAACTGGGATTATGACAGTGAGGGTAGAGAAGAGTGAAGAGACCTGTGATTTAGCTAGGAGGAAGAACAATGGAGAAGGGGAAGGAGAATAGGCATGACACCCAGGTTTCTGGATTGAAGCAACAGGATGGACAATATCCATTACTGAAATAGGGCAAGCAAAAGAAGTGGATTGAAGGAAATGAATGTGGCGTTTTGGATTTAAGGAGTTGGAGATGTGTGACGGACACTAAGTAGTAGCCAGCTGGAGTCTGGGGCATAGTCACGGTGAACTGAAGTGATGGGAAGAAAGGAGTTCATCAAGGGCCAGTACCCAAGTCAGTCAGAAGAATATAATCCTGAGAAACACCACTAACATTCAGGAGATGGGCAGAGGAAGATTAGACCAACAAAGGAGACTGAAAGAGAGGTAGGAAAGAAAGAAGAAAAAATGGTAAGAATGCAGTATCAGGGAAGTGAAACAAGCAGAAGTCAACAGTGTTAAATACTGCAAAAGGATCAATCAAGATAAGAACTGAGATCTCAAAAAGAAATTGCTGTGACCTTTCAATGGGATGATAGGGTGGAAGGTAGATAGAAAGACAAGAATGCCCACCAACCTGCTATGTTTAGTATAGAACGAGAACTCCTGGCTATCATTATTTTTAAAAAGAAGAATAAAAGGAAAGGAAAAGAGGAGGCAAGGCCAAGGAGAAAAAGAAAAGAATAAAGATGAGAAAGGAAGAAACAAAACATCTTATTTGTATGTCATATAAACATTCACACAGTATCACAGATAGCTTCACAAAGAATCAGCATATTATTAGAAGTAATTAGAGTTTAGCAAGGTTAATAGATAGAAGATAAACTTTTTAAAAAATCAATAATATTTCTCTAAACCAGCAAGAGCTAGAAAATGTAATAGAAAGGTACCATTCAAAATAGCAACAAAAACCATGAAACATTTAGGAACTGAACAAAGAATATAAAAGACTCTTTGAAGAAAATCATAAAATGTTAACAGAAGTTAAAATAAGTTCTAAATAAGTAAGACATTCTATGCTTTGGAATATGTCAACATTATAAAGATGGTAGTCCTCCCTAATCCTTATGTGCTATTAGTGGGATTGTAAATTCATGCAGCCAATAGGGAAAACAGTATGAAGTTTCCTCAAAAAGTTAAAAATAGAACTACCATATGATCCAGCAATTCCACTTCTGGGTATTTATCCAAAGAAAATGAAAACACTAACTCAAAAAGATATCTGCACCCGCATGTTCATTGCAGCTGTTACTTAAAATAGCCAAATATGGAAACAGCTTAAGTGCCCATCAGTGGATGAATGGATAAAGGAACTGTGGTGCATATATATAATAGACTATTGCTCAGCCATAAAAAGGATGAAATTTTGCCATTAGTGATCACATGGATGGACCTTAAGGGCATTATGCTAAGCGAAATAAGTCAGACAGAGAAAGACAAATACCATATAATCTCATTTACATGTGGAATTTTAAACAACCAACAACCAACCAAACTCATAGATACAATGAACAGATTGGGGGTTGCCAGAGGTTGAGAGTAGGGGGAGGGGAAATGGGCGAAGATGGTCAAAAGGTATAAACTTCCAGTTATAAAATAAATAAATCCTGGGGATGTGATATACAGCATGGTATATATTTCAAAGTTGCTAAGAGAGTAGATCTTAAAAATACTCATCACACACAAAAAAAGATAGACTGTAACTGTGTGGAGATGGATGTTAACTAGATCAATTGTGGTGATCACTTACTGTGACTTAGACAATGTTGAATCATCATATTGTATACCTGAAACTAACATAATGTTATACGTCAATTGTATCTCAATAAAAAAAGACTTCAGTTCTCCTTTAATCTATAAAATAAAAAAGACTTCAGTTTTCCCTATTCTATAAATTAAATGCAATCTCATCATTGGTTTTATTATATTACTATTATTTCGAAACTCAAACTTATTCTAAACGCATATGAAAAATAATGGTTCGCGAAAGCTAAATCAGCATTAAAAAAAAAAAGAGCAACTTGATCTGTGAGATAACAAACCAGCATAGTACTAGCATATAGAAAAAGAGACTCACAGTACAAAATAGAGAGTTCTGAGACAGATCCCAATATACATGAGAACCTCCTGTATAATACTGCTCCATAAACTAATGGGAAAAGGACAAAAATCATCAGTAGGAGAAAACTGGTTCCATACGTGGAGAAAAAATGAAAATAGATTCCTACCTAATACTATGTTCAGAGGTGGACCTCAGGTGAATTAAGGACCTAAATGTGAAAAGCAAAACTATTAAGCTAATAGAATTTATGTAGGAAAACATCTTTGTTATTTATGGAAGAAAAAGAGTTCTTAAACTCCAAAAGCACAAAACTTGTGTATTATCAATGCAAAATATAAAGCAATTAAAAAACTCTCATTGTTAAAGTTTGCAGTGAATTTCCTACATTTAAAAATTAGAAGAAATGATTATTATTTATGATTATACATTTAGATATATAGAGTTCATGAGTATTGGAGAAATAATAGACAGTTCCCTAACTTGCGACGGTTCAACTAAAAAATTTTTAACTTTACGATGGTAAGGAATGCTATCTGCATTCAATAGAAACCGTACTTCGAATTGTGTTCTTTTCCGGGGCTAGCAGTATGAGGTACGATACTCTCTTGTGATGCTGGGCAGGAGCAGGAAGCCGCAGTTCCCATCGGCCACACCATCACGAGGGTAAACAGCTGATATTCTACAGTGTGTTCATTGTATGACATGATTTTGACCAGCTGCAGGCTAATGTAAGTGGTCTGAGCACATTAAGGTAGGCTAAGCTAAGCTATGATGTTCGGTAGGTTAAGTATATTAAATGCAATTCGGACATTGTATTTTCAACTCATGATGGGTTTATCAGGATGTAATCCCATCATAAACAGAGGAGCTTTTATAGTGAGTGGCTTTAATGTACATTTAAAAGAAAATGTTAAAGTATTGGGTAAATAGTATGAGTATTTTTTATACTCCATAAATGCAACCACTTCAGTTCTTCATACACCTTTATTACAGTCCACGAGAACCCCCAGAATACCTAGGAGTAAAGCTAATTTACAAGAGTTTCATCGATTATAATGTTTTTTTTTCCATACTTGGAAGACTTTCAAACTAAAGTAACTGATATTATTCCCCTTAAAATTAGTGCTATATCATAAGTCCTAAGTAAACAGACCAAGAGGAATAGAATTAAACTAGAAAAGCAGGATTCTGAAAGTTGTATTAAACACATTGTAATTATTATAAGCACAATTGAACAAAATTAAAGTAATGCACAACTCAAATTTAACTGAAATCTTAGGTAACCCTAAAAGATTAGGGCTCTATCCCAACTGCTTTATTTCACTACCATCAGCTTCTAGAAGACAAAGAATGAGTACCTCAGAATTTAAATATACTAAGAATGGTCTAAAGAAAGAACAAAATCAGCAAATGTTTTGAAATAAAATGTCTACAAATTAGACTGAGTGTAACAGCTGGGAAAGACCCAAATTCAGCGCAACATGGGTTAGATACTTAAATCTTCATAAATTAAATAATAAAAATAAATTAGGTACAATATTTATAACCCTCAAAATAAGGATATTTATTTAATTTAAAAAAATCATTCATGTTTCCAACTCTTTTTCCATCATGCTACTCTGAATTTAACCTTTCTTTAGAGCCAATAAAACCTGATAAAAATTGAAAATCATAGAATTTAATGTGTTAATAAACTAAAATATTTCTTCTTCGAGCCTAAGTGTCCCCCAACCCCAATCTACCTCCTGTATATTTCAGAAAACTATAAAATCACCACTAAGTGGTGGGATATAGTAATCCACAGATATTCTAAATGTATTAGATTAATATAATATACCTTGAACAACAACCTGGCTGCCTGGGACAAAGAACTGCTGTGTGCCATCAGCTGACTGTGCTGCATACTGTACAATTGTAGCACCTGGTGGAGGAGCTCCTGAATTTGTCATTGTTAATGCCTGTAGTCCCTGAACACCATCAGATCCTGGGTTAGAAATCTGGATTGCTCCACCTTGGGCTATAGCAACTTAACAGAAAAAGAAAAGAAATATTAGAAAATTTCAAGATTCATTTTTAATAATCCCATATTGGAAGAATAATATACTCTGGGTCTATTTATTACCAATATGTCTCATTCTCGGGTTACCCTTATTTCTCTAAGTTGAATTAATAAGGAGATCCTCCTTCACGGGAAAACACTAAAAAAAAAAAAAAATCAACATTTGAAAATATCTTATATTCATAACTGTTTGAAATACACAGAGCCTGTGGAGTTATCCTCCTCCCTGGTATCCATCCAATTAATTATTTAAGAGAAAGAGTGGAGATGCAGACAGGAAGCAAGTCCAGCTTCTTGATTTTCTCCATTCTTTCAAAATTTTTAAGATATGAACAGTATTCTTCTAACTTTTAAGAAATGGTCAGTGAAATTCCATTAAGCATCATAATTACAATAAATTTTACCTTCACTTAGCTAACTACTTTTCTAATTTATCATTGAAAGAAAGTAGCTTTTAATGGAATACATATTATATATTTTGGTTTTTAAAGCTCAAGTCTATAAAACTGTAGCCTTTACCACCCATTTTGAAGTCAGGAGAATCCTGAAATATAAAATGTTAAGTTGGAAAGGACCTTAAAAGGTAACTGTATTGAAACAATTTGTGCTACAATATTTACCTCTACCAAGTGTCTTGAATAACTAACTCAGCTAATGGCAACAAATAGGATTTCCCCTAAATACTGAGACTTGCCAGTCATGTTTAAAAATTAACATATTAACTGAAGGTTAAAAAAAAATAGTGTTCTGTTTTTAAATTTCACTGTAATAGACAAGTCTAAATATCTGAGAGTTCTGTATACTTTAACATAAAGGTTATAACTTTATGTTTTAGCTTAAACATTAGAGATTAAGTGGAACCAAGGACTATCTTTTTTAAAAAAAAATCACATATAAACTGGCTAACTAGATTTACAATGAAGATAAAAATAACATATCATCAGAATAACACAACACCAATAAATCAATGTAAACGCCTTACAGGAATGTTACAGTAGTATCTAAAATATATCCTGAACATTTCCAAGTCATTCCCTAACATTTTAACAGTATCTAAGCAAAGGACCACTTAGGTGATGAACTGATCCGATAAACTTATCAGAACTATTGCAAAGGGTTGCAACAACGAATCCTCAATTCTTTGACCCAAGTTCCTAGGGACTAACACAAAAACATGGGTCATCATTTTTTCAGACTTCAACATAGATACATACTCTGCATTTTAGTTCATTGACAAGCCAATATTAGAATAAGATTGATGGAAACTAAAGAATCAGTTACAAAATGTCAACAGCTGAGGTTGAGAAACTCTGATGTAATATCACTTTATCTGGCTCATCTAGAGCATTATATACACATTTTAAAAACAAGATTTCACCACAACTCTCCAAAGATTTCAAGGGTCTCAGGATTCACCCCTTACAATAAGAGTTTGAGAGAGATCTAACTATATCTACCTTCTTAAAAGAGAAGAAAAAGAAGAGATAATGCTTCCTTAAACCTTCATGGCTGACCATGTATAAATTTTATGTTACCATATATCTGAATGTGTATTTGCAAATGATAATTAGTTTGTTGTCATAGAAACAGTGCTTTGGAAAGAGTAAGCACAGGCAGTGTAACCACAATGTGTAAGAAGCACAAAGTCTAGTGTTAACCTAAAATTAAAAAACCAACTTGAGAGACAACAAGCGTTTATTTGGGATCAAAGAATTGTAATTTGGTAAGCACAGATTCAGACAGAAACTCAAATAGTGTCTCAATTACAGGGTGAAAGTAGAGGTTTTTATGAGGAAAAGGAAAGGAATAATTATATGAAAAGAAGAAAAAATTCCTATTGGTGCTGATAAGCTGAGGTACTACTGGCTATACATGATTGCTTACTGACTCTATCTTCAGATAGAAGATCCACACAATCATCAATCCTTGTGATCAGACTGTCCCTGTTCCTGCAGACTTTACAAACAATTGTTCATAAAACAATTGTGGTTTGCCCAAGTCTAAAGAGCAAGGTGGGATAGTGGGGGTGGGAGGTAGCGGTTCATCTGGAATGGCTGCTCCGGCTCCATTTTAAAACAGTTCTATTCATGTCATTTTTACACATTTTTTTTTACGTATATCATACACTCAATAAATATAAGTAAATAGTTATCATTTCCTCAAGACAGACTATATTGCAATCAACTTAAGCCACTTATGAATCTAGAAAAGTTAAATGAAGTATGGTTTCAAATTCTGATAATAGAGCTTAATTTTGAATGCCAATACAATCATCAAGCTAGTAAAATATGAGGTGAGAATAGTTGCTTTCAAGGATAGGAACCATGAAATAAGTAGATAACAAAGATCTTTGCTTTCTTTTTTCTTTTCATACTTTTCCTTTTTTTTTTTTTTTTGACGTTTCTCCATAGTTGCAACCAAACTTATTTGCCTTCACAGTATGATAAGATGATAATATTAAGAATCTGTTCTTCTCATCACTTTATTTTCTGGTTAAGTCATTATATAATTAGATGTGAAAAACAAAAGCTAAATACACACACAAGCTGGCTCTAGGGGGAAAATATTTCTACTGAGAAGTCTCCTACTTTAGCCTAGCTTTTTTTTTTTATAACAAAGGTGCTCTTGATTTTGGCATTATCAAATGACAGAGGACCTCTCCATTCCAAATGTTACCTCTCATCTGACAATAAACGAGATCTCTCAATGCTTCAGGATACTGGAAATTGCCTGTGTGTGTGCATATGTGTATTCAAAAGGTTTGAGAAAACTTTTTTAGGTTACAAAACGCTCAAGGATAGTAATAATATGTGTTTTCAGCAAGTACACATCAAAATAAATAGTAGGAAAACTGATGAAAAGCTAAGATGAAATCAACAAAATGAGTTTAGTCACATCTTTTGTTTTAGCTCTTTTTTTTAAACTTGAGAATTTTCTAGTAGACATAAAACTAAAAAGAATTTCATGTCATCATTTCCCCTATCACTCATCCAAAACTTTTTTGTGTCTGTGGAGTATTTTAAAACTAACTCCAGACATTACGTCTGGCTAATCATTTTTAAATAAAATGTTTGGCCCATATCAAGGCCATTAGTAATCAATAAAAATAAAATTGCATTTCCCAATAATTTTACTTTGGAGACCAAGACTTTATTAATACTTTCTTGGGCTGCCACATGCCCACACTGTTGTTAACAATGTAGAGTCCACACTCTATGAATGTTAGTCAGGACTCAAACAGAAGTAAATTTGTCTCTATTTTAGACTATATCTCTTTCTTTTAAGTAATGCTTAATAACATTTTCATATCTAAATTGAACTAAAATTGAATAGCTAGATTATATAATCAACTAAATTCTACTCCAATGTCCATTATTAATTGATTCAAGCCTGCTAGTATGTTATCTGCTCGTAGTACTGGTGGATAGAGGTTAGGCTCTGCTGTCCTTGTTGCTCTGGGAGGTACCTAACTTCTGCCTTCCTACCCCGCCCCTGCCCCTAAGTCTCAGGTGAGCTAAACCACGTAATTGCCTAGGTCACTCTATATGCACTGGCTGAATGTTGGACACACTGACTTTACATTAAGAAAGCATTTGTCTAAAATTAGTAGTTGACAGATGGTCACGGAGATGGGAGCACAGCACCGGAAATGCAGTTAGCATTAATGTATTGGCTAGGTGGAGACCCAGAGGAAGGAAAGAGTAATTAGGGGTATATAAATGTCTAACCAATGTACTGTATACTTGAAACTAATAAAGTAAAATTTAAAAAAAAGAAAGCATTCATCTAGATAAGAGTGTAATTCATTAATTTACTAAGTGAGTTTTCGTGGTTATACAAATGTTTTTATATGTATATCTTTATACAGTCATGGTATTTAGTTTTAAAATAGTATAACCCAAGTATGCTTTCTCCATCACCAACTTATCTACCACAGTAACTAGGATGCTATCATATCAACTATTCTAGGCAATAAATTCTTTAAAAATTCCTAGTATACAAAACTGTTAAAAAAAAAATCTGCTACTTCCACTACTCATAGCACTTCTCTCCTAAAACTATTAATAATATTGAAGGAAAATATTTCTTACAGAATGAGAACTCAAGTATTTTGGTAAAATAATTTGTAATTAAGAAATATTTTAAAGTCTTATATATTCACTAAAGGAAAAAAGAAAGATAAATAAGGGTAGAAAACAAAAACAAAAAAAGTTTATGACCAAATAAGAGTAGCATTTATTTAAGATTTCATCTGACCTTTTTTTACTTGATGCTAACATCTTTTTAATCCTAAAACTGTATATATGAGCTACTTCAAAAACATAAACATGTAAATGTTTAATTATAATTTAAAACCATCTTTATTCCAAACTGCAATAAAAAGATTCCTAAATTTTCACTGAATTAATTTTAAAAAGAACAGACTTCATTCCAGTGAATTCTCAGATTTAAATTAAAAAATTAAGCACAAAACAGAACCTGTGAGTACTCCTGCCGTAAAAGCAGAAGAAACACTTAAACATCCTCAAGCTAGAACAAGAATAGCAACACCAAGGTTAAAAAGCCATATTTATATTAAATAGATACATTTTATGTTTGCTTTGAAAGTTACCTTGGGGGAATGTAAGCAAAGTCATTACTAACAGTAATAAATGCAACTGAATTTACTTTAGAATGTGTAAGCCTACCATGTGCAAATTCCTTTATGAAGAATTGGAACCAGTGTTTATTCATATGAGCCTCCTGAGAATTCTGAATTCTTTAGCAGTCCACATAGTTCACATATATCTTTTTGATAACTAATGAATTTTGTATTGACCCACTTACCTTTAGTGGTCTAAATTCCAGTAGAGATAAGTTAATAGAGACTCATTCTAACAAGGTTCCCAGTAAAATAAAGTAGGAGCAGGCCAAGAGATGGGACATTAAAAAAATAATTTGAAGACTTGGGTGACAGTCCTTAATGGGTAAGTAAGGAGGTCAGATCAGGTATAGTAAAGTGAGAGATTAAAAAAACAAACAAACCTGTCTTTAGAGAAAATTTAATAAATTAAACTTCAAACATTTTAATTTCTTTAGTTGCTTTTACTATGCATTTATATGAATTCACTCATTTAATGCATGTCTTATGCAGCAAGTAACCTTTGCTAATTCTAAACCACCATCTTTAAAAAATATTATTCTGAAACACGATAGATTTTCTTTGACCAGAATGATTTAATTGGCATACAGCAGACTTATCACTAAGATCTGTACTTCCAGTAAAGATTTTTCAAGTGTAGCTCATTTTCTTGGTGTTGCAATAAATCCCTGCCCATTTAAAATTATTTTTTCCTGTCCCACCCCGCCAAGGGAGTAGCCTATTCTAACTTTCACTTCTTAGTGTTTGTGATTCAAAGACAGGTTGAAATGATAAGGCCAATTTCTGTCAAATATCGAACTTTCAGCTCTTAAAAATGTAACAGCTTGTTTATGGGGAAACCTGAGTATACTTATTTTTATTTTGTTCAACTTCAACACACAAAGGTCTTTTTGTTTTCAACTTATACATCAAATTAAAAATAAATAATCTAAATTAATAATCTTTGGAAAAAAGACATGAAGCGAAGTTTGGGGGAAAGTCATCCATGGATAAAAGTTGAATAAAGAATAAAACTTAAAAAGTTATTTTTATAATAAAACATTATAAAAGGATCTCAAAAACAGGTACATGAAATATCTCCAGAAATTCTACTAAAATAAACTCCTCTATTCTAAAATCCAAAGGATACCAGACTGATTCTATTCTAGATATTTAGGAACAACATTAAAGCATTAATATCTGTTGTTATTCCTAGTAAGAAATACGACTAATGAAAATGGATCTTGTATATGTGTAAGTATACATTTACCCTCCCATTAAAGTAAATGCCTCCTAAAAAATTGAAATAGTAGTATTTACTCTTCAAATGAAATAATTATTGACAGAAACAAGGGTCACTAAATGTCTAAGAAACACATTTTTAACAAAGACTATGTCGCTTTTCATGAACCAATAAATGCCAATTTTTATCTTTGGACTACCACGACTTTTCATTAAAATTACTGCCAGGATCAATACTGTATGGGTTCAATACTAAGAGGTAGTCCATGACCTCTAATATGACAAATAGATAAATGTCTAACTTCTAAACATTGGATTTTCTACTTCTCAACCAGAGCTCCTAACTAAACACCCCCACTCCCTACCTACAATGATGTTAAATGAGCCCTCTGCTCCTAGCTGTACTAAGAGTATAAGAAATAAAGGCTTTGGCCCTGGCAACTGTGAATGAGACATCACCATGGCTAGCTTACATTTCTATTTCATATCAAAGTAGCATGTCTCTTAACCGTCTTTTACCTGTTATCTCCTTGTGTCCTCACACTAACCTGAGTCTGGCAATTTAGTATTACTCTCGCTTCAAAGACTAAAAACCTGAGATTTGAAAATAGAGCTTCTTGTTCGAATCCAGTTAGCGAAATGGCAGGACCAGGGTGTCTCCCCTATATCATCTCTACCTTCAATATTGTCTCAACCTAATGTTTTCATGATTTCAAATTTTCAGCTAATAACCTAAACAAATTAACCCACAGCATCCCTGTCCATACCACCTTGTAAAGAGATAACTGCTTTTATCCATTCCTAAGCAGCATTAGTATATGCTAGAGAAATGTTCACGATGACAGCATTTTACATAGTCCCCCAAACTTTAAGATGTCTGAGCATTATTTCGGCAGTAATTTCCAACCTTTTTCTTGTCATGACACAAATAGAAAATAACATGTGTACAGCCCACTACTCAAGCCTAGAGCTGACCAGTCAGGAGGTTCCAGCAGCACCATGCAAGCCATGCACTGCCATTCTGGGGACAGAGGGCATGACAGAGCTCAGCACTCCTGTGACCTGTGTGCTGTACTGTAGAGGCACATGGCTGGCAAACTCTGATTTTCAGTTCTAAAACTACTACCATAAGTTCACAGTGGGTCAGACGCAAAGGAATATAAATCAGAGAAGTAACAAAAGAGAAATGACAGTGAAAGCCTCCGACTCTTACAGATAATGGGAAGTTTTGCTTTCCTAACATTGACTTGGGACATGTCCACTATGTCCTATAGAGGCTGTGAACAAATTATACCCCAGTTCTGCCAGGTATCATGAAGGAGATCTGGAACTACGAAAGGAGAATGTTTAATGCTGCAAATCTACTATAAGAAAAACCCTAAAAAAAAAACAACCCAAATGATTCTATAAGGTCTTCCCACAGATTAAAAAATATTATAAGCTTGTTGTAACAGCCAAGTCTTAAATTAAGATTTGAGACTTTTTCTACATATTACTGCTTTTTTAAAGGGAAACAGAAAACACATCTAAAATCTTAACACTGTTTTTGGACCAACGCGTATTTAATATCACACATATTCCAGTACCTAAGCAGTTTTTCTTTTTTAACTTTTTTCCTGTCTCCTCCCATTTTTTTCTTCCTAGCTCTTATTTTTACTTAAGTATTTTTAAGTATCAAATGGTCTTGATTTGGGAAAAAAACTAGTGCTTTAATTGCAGGAAAAAGCACAGAATTAACAGCCCATTAAAATGCACAAGACTAAATGTGAGTGTATCTGTTTATTTAGAGCTTTTGGTGCTTAAAATTTCATATAAAATGATCTGTCCAATTACTGTAGTTTTTAAAAATAAATGATTTTTCCATTCTCATCTAGAAAAAACTGCAGCACAAATGAACACAGTAGAGTAGTGAAAACAGAATTACATTTAAAACATAATTTAGAAAACATATTTACCTCTTTTAAATTAGTAAGTATAAAATGTAATTGTTGGTAAAAGCCAACAAGAATGAAATACAGACATTTATCTTATGTTTGCATGCATCATAAAGGCAACAAAACAGTAATTTAAAAATTTTTACTAAACATGAAGATAAACATAAAATTAAGAAAAAAACTCTTCCCTTTATTTTCACCCCAAAATTTTCTTCTATATTCAGTAAAAAAATTTTTACTTTTCAAAAGTATATGACAGCTATCAGTACAAATCTCTGCTCCTTTAACATGTACTATTCTTTCTATGATACACAATTTAGGTATTATGATGCATTTTAAAATGAAACAATTTAATGCCAAAACCCGAGTTGCTTCAATGTAATGAGAGAAGGCTTAAAGCTAGCACTGTATCATATCGAATTGCAGCATACATACTGTATTGCCCCGTGCTAGTCTGATATATGCTAGTCGGTACTGCCATGGTAGCGATGTTAGGTGGTGTTCCTTCTTCCTCTGATTTTTCTTCTTCAATCTTGGGAACACCATGCACATCAGAGGAAAGTTCATTCAGTATTTTTCTAAAATATAATTTAACAAAACAAATAATTAAGATACATGAATGAGATTTAAAATAGAAGCTATAATGGAAGGATTAGTTTGAAGTATAATTACTCTTTTTTTGAAAAAAGTATCACCACAGTAGGAAATTTAATTAACTTACCGATAAGAGGGCCTTCGTGAAAGGATTTCTCTACGTTTATGAGAATCAATTACACCTTCTGATTCTGCAGACTCATCTGTCTCTGCAATTGTTGCTACCTATAATACAAGAGTTTCTGAAATGCATCATAAAACATATGACCGTCTTCATTCAAAAAAGGGCAATTAAGGGTCTCTGTGTGCAGCCCTAAGCCAGGCTGGGGAAGCGCCCAGCAATAGAACACACTGAACCCACACTAATGGAGTTCACTCCTGGCTTAGGAAAGGAAGCACAGACACAAAGATTTTAGTTGTAGAACAAATGTGTATGGAAAGGAATGGTACAAATAATAAACACTACTACAGAAATGCCAATAAAAGAGTGGTTGGAATGTCAAGTGAGGCTTCGCAGGAAAGGCCTAAATATAAGATACATAAGATCTAAGATCTCAACCCTGGAAGTACTTGAAAAATTTCCAGCAGCAAGTGAGTGAACAAGTGACAGAGGCAGGAAAAAACATTTTAATGTCACTGCCCTCTTCACAATACCACAACTGACTTGAACTGGGTCTTCAAATTAGACATTAGATAGATTCAAAGAAGAAAGAATATTTAAACAGGTAAACAAGTGAGTAAATAAGCCTGGTAGAAGCTATAAAATAAAGTAGGTTGGGACTTAATAATAGTAGTTCTTGAAGGTCACAATAAGAAATTTCTCCTTAAAAGATCAGAGTTTTAAGCATGATTTCATTTTTTTCAAGTAATAATAACATGACTATTAAACAAAGTCAGAAAACTAAAATAATAAATCTCTCTACAACATGATTGCTCTCATTATATTCAGCCATTTAGCATTCAGGGCTTAAGACAGTTCTAAGTTTACAAAATTCACTTTACTTAATATTGCAATTATATGGGAATTTGATTTGGGCAATATTTAGAAATGTTTAATAAAAGTCATAATACAAAAGAAAGCGTGAAAAGACTTTCTTGTTTTATAATTAGGGTTAGAAAGAGTCAGGAAATCTTGGAATCAAGAGTCATCACAAGGAGAAAAAAAAGACAATAGTGAGAATTATTCTTAAACTTTTGAACACAGGAAAAAGCACTTGGTGCTGCAAAGATAACCAAGCTTTTAATGCATGTGGATTTATTATTTCAAATATGTTACAACCTTCATCCTTATTCTGCAATAAACTGTACTCAACAATGCAGAAAAAGAACAAGACTAAGTATGTGCATCAATGTTTTTTCAAAGACCTTTTAGTCATCAATTAGATTCAAATAACTTAAAGGATAACAAACTGACCGAAAAAAAAAAAGAAATAAATTCAATAAACAAGAAAAGTATACTTTTAAAAATGCACACTTAATAATTTACAACTATTGATGCAAAAAAAAAATGTTTTAGCTTCAAGAAATGTTAAAGATTTATGACCAACCTTGACAATAATAAAAACACATCTCTAGATCACAACCACAATAATAATTACATCTACAAAACTAAGGTTTAATCTGAGTGGGGTACATGATGTGAAACGTAAGACAAAGAAGACCGTAGTATCATTATTTCCTATGGATTACACATATTAAATTGAAAACAAACTTAAATTTCTACCTAACTACTAATGTGAATAATCATGAAAACATCAGTACTATATTCTTTCTATTACTGTGTTTATCAGACATCTTCTCCAAAGAATCCTCAAAATATTTTTAAGCACCATTGGAGAGCTCTGCTAAATAAATCTGAGTTTGAGCACAGAACAATTTGAAGTCTCACTCATCTGGCAATTACTCATCCTGCAAATTAAGAGCTAACAACAAAATGGTAACTCTTAAGTCAAATCTATGTATCTAGGAGAGCACAATGCACTTTACACGGAAAAGGAAATTCCTCCAAATGTCTAATAAAATGATTTGAGCGTAAAAGCTATACAAGGAAAAGAGGATAATTGAATTAGTTAAAAAAAAAAAAAAAGAAAGAAAAGAAAAGGCTCAAGTAGGTCAAAGACAAATCATCAGGGAAGGAAGCTAACCTGAACAGTTTGTATTTGTGGTGACTGAATAACCGATGGCTGTGGTGTCTGAATTACTCCCTGGACATGTACAGTTTGGCCCGAAGGTAACTGTACTAGAGTTACAGCTGGGGAGCCTCTTCCGGTGCCTGATCCAGCTACAGAAACCTGCAAAAATGATCATCATTAAGGATTAAGGCTGGGCATTTTATTGTTCCTTTTGCTTTTCTGAAAAGAAATACCACTCACTATGATGACTTGCCTATTTTTCCTCTTTCTAAGAAATGACAAGCAAGCTGGGGTACTTACCATTAGGAGGTGATCACTGTCCTGGAACAGTCATTCTCTGATGTGATAGTAAAGAACCCATGCTCCTCACTTTCAGTTCCCATGCTTCGGTGGCTAAGAATGTTCCAAGCACAAAGTTCTAAAGCAGTTAAACTACCTCACTACGACCTCAAGACTATTAACAGTGAAGCCTTATTTAGGCCAGAGTATAAACTACCCTTTCTAACTTCTTAAGACAAATTGAAGACAGAAATTAACTATGGTGAATTATCTTTCAATAAATGAAACATTCAACATATGATATTCTAGTATTACTCCAGATGCAATTTACTGATGAACATCAGTTACTTTTGTCCCCATAATCACACAAAAAAAGCACAGGCCAAAGAAATCCCAGGACCTCCCATGGGTGGTGGGAGAGCCCTTAGTGTCTCTGGCCCAGAGAAAGCTCATGCTTTGGAGTGTGTGTGGCCCTCTCACTTTTTCTCTCCCCTAGCTTGAGCATCCAGCTCAAGAGGGCCAGAACCGCCACGTAGCTTGTACAGAGAGAAGGGTACTCCTACTGGGTCATCTCCTAACTACCTTGAGTGCTTTCAACAGAGATCTCTACTGGCAAAACACAATAATATCTCCAAGCCTCTGGACTCAACACCTGCAAAGTATTCTAATTAGTAAACCACTCAGTCCTATAGGCCAGTGTAATCTTAAAACCACCTCATTTCACTAAGTTTCTCTACTCACTATGACTTACTCAAAATAGTCAGACTTCTACCATCACAGAAACCTATGATGAATGATAGAATCATACAAATTTTGCAGAAATCTGTGGGACCTTACCAATGATTTCCAATCTATTTATACTAATACTTTAAGAGAATTATTAAAAACTTGATTTATAACAAATAAGGTTTATTTAAAACATCATTTCCTTAGAAGGTAAACTTCTCTGGCAATCCAAAAACAAAATCTTTTATCCATGCATGAGAACCTATATGGTGAGCACTGTACAAGGTGCACAAGAATCAAAAGTAGAATTGCTAAAACTAACATCTAAGAAACAATAGCCTACTAAACAGTTTAGGACTAATTTTTCCATTGTACAGTCCATGAAAGTCATTGGAGTACGTAAAAGAAAGATCGGTATGAGCCTAAAAAAATAAGTGAAGTTTTGTGTAGAAGCCACAGCTTGAGTTGGACCTTGATATGAGCCTGGATAACACTGGGACAGGAAGGTGAGAAACTAGGGCACAGACATGTATCCTAAGAGAAATTTCATCCTACCTGCCCTGGAGTATTATTGTCTACCTTAGATTTCAAGGCAAAGAAAAAAGTTATCCCATAATGGAACCAGTAGATTTAACAACTAGAAGTTAAAAAAAAATTGGGAAGATTTATTCTACAGATGTTCCCAGAACAAAAAAGCAATTCTGTATGAATTATAAAAAGGTACCTAACTCTGCGTGAACCAATTACTTAAAGGTACTCCTTTTGCCACAACTTTTTAGTCTTAGGACAGACGCCTTGACATTCTGAAAAATTAATGATGATCTCAAAGAGCTTTTGTTTATGTAATTTATATCCAGTAGGGTGCTGTAAATGTTTAACAAACAGCTTCTGGGAAGGGAGATCCCTGATTTGTAACTTTTGCCGATTTCTGTAATGTAAATACTCCTAACTATGGCAGATTTCGAGCTCCCAAAGAATGGCACTGAATACAAAATTGGAAAAAAGATGTGTACATCAGCTCTCAGAAGCCAGCGCCAGAACAACACTGGGTATATGTATTGATATTTATCATATTGGGAATTAAAATGGAGAAATTTAAAAAATACTTAGTAACTTATTTAAAAAAAAATTCTATTACATGCTAACAATACTTTATGAAGATTACATTTTTCTAAAAACTTACTAATATCAATGTTTTGTTTTTACAAGTTCTTTTAATATCTAGTTTAACTGAAAACAGCTAGATTTTTATACCTACTTCTGCACTTAATCTGTTGCAATATATTATTTTAGTTGGTATATAAAGAAAATCTGAACCTGACACAGATGTATGATTGAAAAAGAGTATTTTTATAGCTATTTAAAAAATGTGGATATTCTCTGATACTATACCAAAATTTGACAAGTGATTGTTTCTCAAGGGTTAGTTGCAATGTGTAATCTGAAACCACATTTGTTACATTAAAATCCACTGCTGGATCTGGTACTTTGGATAGACCTTTGCCCATGCACGATTTGGTAACACGCAGTTATGTGGAAAACATTGGTTCACTGAGTTAAGCGGATCTCTCAAATACTAACACACTTCATAATACACTATCAGAAAAGCATGTTCATTAAAATATCATCAATCTCATCAGAAAACTATAAATACTAGGAAGCTATCACGCTCAGAATGGCAGATGCAGGTTTTCCAAAATTCAAAAATTCAGCCTAAAAGCTGGAATTTTATCAATAACAGTGAACACTAACCATTCTTTTGACAAAAATGTCCTGTGGAAAAAACCCAGCTAGATCATCCTACTGCTCAAAAAATAACTCACGTTTTTTTTCCCCCCAAGAACACCATCGGTCTTAAGTGCACAGCAGAAATGCCTTCAGTGAATGTCCCAATTTCAAAACAATATTAAAACAACGTGTACTGAAGGGTCAAGATTTAATATAATTGGTAGTATTTACTGCTTCATTAAGGATATTCTTAATGAAACTGACTTTTTCACTGCAAGTGAATGGCAATGAAGAAAACAATGACAACTATACATTTTGGTGTCACTGACTTGATTCCTGATAAGGGACCAACAGTTTTACTCCGCCTCCATTGTTTTTGTATCATCAGTGCAAATGGCAATACAAAGAAAAAGGAAAACAGATCTTAGCATTTCTGTGAAAATAGTTTTGACCTCCTAAACCTCCTTTAAGAGGCCGCAGAGTCTTCCCTAAGGTTGTGTGTACAATACTTTGAAAAATGCTGCTCTATCTCAGTGTAGCCCCCAAGGCTCTGGCTCACAATCTGAAGGGCAGAGTGTTGAGGCAGGCTGGATTTCAGCTTCACGGCCAAAACAATCATATCCAGTAACCTTGGTAGAGTTTTCATATGTCAGAGACTGAGCAAAATATATAAATTATATCCAAGAGTACTACAAGTATTCTTACAGACTAGATCTGTGGATTAAAATGGTAACTAGTGCCCATATTCACTTTCTGTGGGGAAATGCCCCAGCTTCAAAGAAGATATTTTGAAGAAATCACAACTCAAGAAAAAGTCATGGGGTTTTGATAAGTATAAATCATGCTTTCAGTTGCTTTAATTATCTTTCAAGTATAATTTTCAGGATTTTAATTTATTAAACAATCACTCTAACAAAATGGCTGTGTCAATACCTGCTGTGGAAAAGGAGCTACACCCACCAATACAAAACTATATTCCCAGAATTCTAGAGATGAGTTATATGAATTCTGTTACCACGATGAAACTCCTCTATGTCCAAATTCTAGGCAGTGAAAAAGCTCATGAGAACTCTTTCATTAAACTACTGGAATAAAGGCTGAGAACCAGCACAAGTGACATACCCTGGAGTTAGAATTCAGACGTATCCTTAAAAATAAACAAAACCTTACATCTAAAGAACCTGTCAGACATTCTATAGTCTCACTGGTTTTGCTAAAACTGGTGACTAGCATTAAGCCTATAACTGTATTGGTAGAGTTAACAAGCTAAATTTCACTATTCATTAATTAATTTCATTATTCATAAAAAAAATTCATATGGCTCCCTTTTAACATTATATTTTTATACTGATCACATGACCAAATGTATGGTACCCTTTAAGTATGGTACACAGATGGCATAAAAGGAACAAATGCAATGAATCAAGTTCGTCATGGTGGCCCCAAAGGCAAAAATGAGTAAATAAAGGAGCATCTGTTTGGGGTAAGGAGGCAGATTTAGTTTCAGGTAGGCCAGGTTGAAAGCAATGCTAAGACAACCAGGTGGAAATGTATAATAGGCAAGAATTATGGGACTAATGCTTGGGTTAGAGCTTAGACAGGAAATAAAGATCTGAAAAATACTGACAAGAGTAATCTATAAGAGTATTATAGATTACTTTATTCATAATACGCAAAAAGAATTCTAAAGAAGCTCTGGAGAGAGGAGGAAATTAAGCTTTTCCTAAAAGATACTATTACAGAGACATAAACTTTAGTTCACTTGAACTAAAATGTGCATACTGTAGGCAGAAATTGGGAACAATCTTTTTTATAAATATCAAATATTCATTCTAAGACTTTTTAATCAATCAAAAATCTCACAGAAACAAGTCTTACTTATGAACTAACTCATTCTTTTATTCATTCAACAAATATTTATTGTGAGCCTACCATGTGGACCAGTATAGACAGGGGTAGGTATATAGCAGTGAACAAGAAAAGTCTCTGCTCTCCACCCACAAATACATAATTTTGGGTGGGGCTAAATTCTTAAAAGAAAAATAAAGCAGGGTAAATGATCAGAGAGTGACGAGGGAGCGTGGAAGGAGGCTATTTAGGATATACCTATGATATGGAAAGCTTCTCAGAGGAGAGAACATTTGTGCGAATGAAGACAAGGAGAAAGCCATAGGAAAATCTATGAATATATTCATCACATTCCAACAAATCAAGTAGGCACCTGCTCAAAAAACAAAAACATAAAATGGATGTATTTTATATTTCATAGTTTCGTACCTCTTTATATGAGGCTCTAAAAATGTGTAGAATGAACTCATAGTAGACATAATTTACCTTTTTTTCCAGCTCCCCTGAAGAATAATCCTCTTCTACAGGATGCCTGAAACATAGATTATGCTGATGCCACCACATCCACCGAAAACCCC